AGACTTTTATAAGTCCCCTTGATTGATTCACATCAGTAATAAAGTAGTAGAGATGACTGAGCTCTCCTTCATTTTGAATAAAATATAAGTGAAAATACCACTATTTTGTGTCACTTGAGCATGTCAGTGTCAGAGCAGCTATCATAATTATATCAGCTGTCATCCGACAGGTTTTTAGTTCCTAGGAGTTAAACTTCAACTTTGGCTCCTAGACTCTAAAAGTGTTGCCTAGCAACATACCTACTAATCATTTTATTGTGTCAGTAAGAGAAACGTCAACTTCAAGAGCTAATTTTGGAACAAAAATGGACGACTTTTGAGCCGATTGCAGACAAACATAGTTATTCATTATACCAGGGAAAAAAGTAGTAGATTCTAGCTCAAAAAACCGTGAGCTAAAATCTAATATTTTCCCCGTGCATGATACACTATTTTTTTCTGTGACAGAAAAAATGACTAATCATAATTGAGAAGATATTACATTATATTCAAAGCATAAAATTATGATACTGATAATACTAATGATAATAATAATATATACGTTCATTATATACCCACATATACTATATCCATATTAAGTAGGCAGATGAAAGGCATATGGTTCAGACTTCAGAAGGTAAACCTCTGAAATATGTACCAACTAGTTGAAGAACGTAGAAAGAGACTCAGATGATCAGTGAGAAGAGAGATAAGATAAATATAAAGAGAAAGAGAGAAGAGAAAAGATCGACGTGAAATTTGAAGATTTTAACAGGAATTACACCTTCGTTGCAGGCATCTTTTTACAGGCATCTTTATCACTCTTTTGAAATAATCAAATATCTGTCAGTCTAATACTGCTATTTGATTAAAAAAATTGCGAACTTAAAGTGGTTTTTTAGTAATTTATGTGACCGCGAAGTGGAATGGAATTTTTTTTTTTCGGAACTAGCACAAGAAAAGCGATCAATAGTGTATACAGAAAAGTGCACCAAAAAGGGCCAGGACTGTAACTTTTGAATTATTCAGAATAGGGTTTTGAAAATAGGAAAGTATACCAAATTGTTCATTAATTGATGAAACAATTTTTCTTCTATCACTTCCAGTTTCACTGAAAACTTCTGATTTTCAAATCCTGTATTGTATTCCATAATCGGTTAGGGATTATCATGACGGATTCAACGATACCAAGATTGATAGGGTTATTTCGAACAATTACGAAGATATTTGCGTTCGAAATTTCCATATGCTCAATGGGTGTGATACGCAATATGAAAACTTCTTTCTCTGTCACACTCATTGAGCATAATATGTAAACTTAGAACGCGAATATCTGCGTAATCGTTTGAAATAATCCTATCCGGTATCGATGAATTCTTTATGGACAATCCCTAACCGATTATGGAATACAATACAGGGTGTCCCATTTAAAAATCAAAAGTTGGGGTCGTTTTCAGTAAAACCGGAAGTGAACAAACACATATTGTTTCGTCAATTAATGAGCAATTCGGTATACTAGCTGCCCACCAATTTTCAAAATCCTATCTCGAATAATTCAAAAGTTACGCGTACTCTAGGTCTCAGAAAATATACCCAGAGTGGCATTCAATATGGCTCGAAAAAAATCTTAACATGGAAGATGGAATACATTGAAGCACGTTTCAACGTTTTTTAAATGTTCAAGTAAGTGGTATTTCGAGCTGCTTCAAGCTTCAAGCTCTAAAATACAGGGTGGCCCATAGAAAACACACATCGAAACATACCGTAAGGCATTACAGGTTGGGAAAGAAATATATACGACAAAACCCAAAAACAAGTCAAGGTTGTTTTTCAGGGAGTAAATTTTTGACGCAACAAGCATAGCAAAACCTTCAACCTTTTGGTGGAGGTGTCATCCCCCAATATATTTCCAATAATAATGGTGGTCAAATGAGATATTCAAAAAGGGCTTCGCTGTCCCGTTTTTGAAAATCGTTTCACTCATTTCTTTTGACGATGAATTCAAATAGTAGATTGTTTTATCAGGATCAAGAGTGACACTTTGTTGACAAGCGAATTTCGCCAGAAAGCTAACTAAAAGTGTTGCCTAGCAACATACCTATGTTTGCGTCAGTAATAGAAACGTCAACGCTAGTGTTCTCTCGAACAGGTCTCTCCATGTAGTGGTCGACGGAGTTTCATCTGACTCTCTTTTTATAAATGCTGATGTTCCGAAAGGTCCAATTCTAGCACCAACACTATTTTTACTCCATATCAACGATTTGTTGGAAGCAACTTCATGTCCAGTACACAGCTTCGCGGATGATAGTACCCTCCATACCGCCTTCTCTTCCAGGGCTCCAATACAAGCCAGGCAAATCAGAAACGAACGAGGAAGAAATGTTGACAACATAAATATGGACTTGGCAACAATTCTCGAATGGGAATCCAATAACTTGGTAGATTTCAATGCAAACAAAACACAAGCATGCCTTCTCTCTAGAAAAGCCGATTGCACTTTGCCCAACATAAGCTTGTCAGGAGTAACCATACCTTTGAAGACATCCATTTCGATGCTTGGTATTACTATAAGCAATAACCTTTCTTGGGAAAATCACGTGAGATCAATAGCTAAAAGTGCATCCCAAAAACTTGGTTTTCTGTTTCGGGCCAGGAGCTATTTCACTTCCAGTCAGCTGCTTATGATCTATAAGGCACAGATCCGACCTGTCCTGGAATACCGTTCCCATATTTGGAGTGCAGCACCCAAAATATACCCTGAAACTGTCCAAAAAAGGACAACGATGCCACGCTCACAAACTCACCCACTTCTCTGGAACACCCTAGAAAAGTTGGCGATCTGGCTCTATTTCATAGATATTTTCATGGACGATGCTCTTCTGAAATACCAACAATTGTTACTCCCTTGACAGTCTCCGCGAGATTAACCCGTCTAGTTGAGGCTTCGCACCCCTTCGTGGTCACTTTGGAGACCTGCAGAACATCTCTTTCCAGAGACTCTTTCATCCAACGAACAGCGAGGCTCTGGAACACATTGCCAAGGGAGGTGTTCCCCGAGGCATATAACCAGAAATTTAAGAAGAACACCAATTCCTACCCTATTTCCGTTGGTTCTCTGAACATTACAGGATATCCCTTTTCGTGGGAACCAGAACATAAAAAAAATTCAAGATCTAATTTTGGTATCAAAATTAACGACTTTTGTGTTGGTTGCAGAAAAAATGAATTTCATTTGACTTGGTATCGGATGGCATAATTCTTATCTCGTTATCAAATCGCGAAATCGAGTGCAAATTTCCGCACAGGAAAGTGCAATTCAAACACTTCGCTCAGGATAGTGATTGGCAGATGACGGTCGTCAGCTGACTATTTCCATTTTCCGTGCTATTGTCAAATTCAAAAGCAAATATCAAATCATTTATCAGCATTTATCATAGCAGCAGCAGAAAATGCTTCTGTTTGTTGAGGTCAAATATGTGAAAATTACAGGGTGTTTCAAATAGTATAAAGTAATTTGTCTCCATTGAAATGCATTGCAATCTCAATTTATGAATTTCCTATTGATTATTCGGATGCAAAATCAGTACCTGCGATATCAATTATTACAGAATTATATATGCTACATTGAAAGTGAAACTTCCTGTACTTAACGGTGAATGCTCATCTGTTTTCGATGTTTACATAAATTTCTTAGTCGGTGAATGAAACACAGGTTCTGCTCATCAACACCTTATTATTATTTAATGAGCTATGCGGTAGGTAACCCAACGAGTGTATTAGCTCTGATATAATTAATGATGTATACGAGGTGTTTTTGAAATAAGTACGTATATTGAGCACATCAATATGATACAGTCTAACGAATATTCCCGAAATATTAGATTTTCTCTAACTCTTCTATGTAACGAGAAATTTCGTCATGAAAATTGAACAAAAACGGAAAAAATCAAGTACGTCATTTCAAGGCCATTTTCTGGCTATTTGCAAGTCGAACATTAAGTTACATTCGTAGGAAAGTAGTGGTTTTCTGTTGAATATTCTGAATGATATTATATACATTATACAGGGTGTTCCTAAACATCATGTACATCCGAAAGGAGGTAATTCCTCAGACCATTTTAAGACTAAAAGTTCATATAAACTCAGGTCCGAAAACGCTTCGTTACCGATCTACGGGGTGTTGAAATTTCAATTTTTTTATAGATTCTCACAAACATTTGAGATGTCCATCGATGTAAGCCCTATAACATAATCTATGTTTCAAATTTGAGCCACATATCTCAAAAACTGCAGGATCTATAAAGAAAAAACAAAAAAAATCTTGAAATTTCAACACCCCGTAGATCGGTAACAAAGCGTTTGCGGACCAATGTTTATATGAACTTTTAGTCTTAAAATGAGCTGAGGAATTACCCCCTTTCGGATGTACATGATGTTTAGGAACACCCTGTATATTTGTATCTGAAAGAAAATGCGAATTCTCAATTTCAGAGTTTATTTTCAAATTCTTATTCTGTGTGTTCAATAGATGTGATTCAATGTTCGTCGAGGCATATAGCAAGGAAAGTAGTTGTGTTCTGTTGAATACACCGATAAAGAATTAATATTTTTTATCAGATAGATAATGCGAATTCTCAATGTATTTCTTTATTTGCATAAATTTTTTCATGCTCATAATATATCTGAGAATATTCCTTTTCGATACGTTTTTCTTTGTTCGATGCAAGCAGGAATGATCAGAAAGTTTTCCTGATGGCGGATTCTCTATCTTATTTTTGCAAATCGGTACCAACATATCTGCTTTCTTATTCACATCGTCGATGCTTAATAATTTCCAAACAAAAATAAAGAGCATTGAAGTTGAATGAATAAAAAAACTTCAACACAAGACAGTCAGGTTTTTTTATAGATTTAGAGAGAACTTCATGAAGATAGGAAACTATAGGATAGGTCAAAATATCATTGCCAAAAATATAATATTCTGAAAATTCGTAGGAACAGTGAAGGAAACATGCAAATACCTTTTCAATGATATAATTATCATCCATGTATGGAAAAACCACTCATTAATCTGAATGAAATATAGGTACATAATAATAGTTCAATTAACGCTGTGCGAATTATTATTGGAAAACTACACGCTCCAAGAATTGCTATATCAGCACTGCTTCAATGAATTCATGTCTCATGTTACATATTACATAATAGAGAATCCAAACTCGTTTTATATATTCATCGCAAAAGCTGCTTCACAAAAACTCGGATTCTTGTCACGTACACTACTGTGCACCTCAACAGCTTCTCATGATCTACAAAGCACAGATACAGCCAGTTTCAGAATACTGTTCTCATGTATGGGTTTCAGCGCCCAAACATACGCTGATGCTCTTAGATTTCATTCAGAGAAGAGCCATTCGCCTGGTGGCTGATGCCACACTCACTAACTTTTCGACCTCATTAGAACACCGCAGAAAAGTCGTCGACCTTCCACTTTTCTATAGATACTTCCATGGGAAATGTTCCTCAGAAATCTCTGCTTTAATTCATCACTAGCAATACCAGTCAGACGAACTTGACAGGCCCAGTCAGCACATCCTTTCGTCGTTAACCTTGAAATATGTCGAACAACACTACCAAAACTCGTTTATCTATAGAACGGCGAAGCTTTCGAATTCTTTGCCAATGGAAGTATTCCCAAGAACTTAAAGTTTAAAAAAATCCAACACCTACCGCCTATGTTCTTCGAATAGGAATTTCCTTTCGTGCGTACCAAGAGATGATAAAAAATTACTCGACTAAAGAAGAGATAATTCTTTAAAACAATTTGAATTATCGACCCATTTTTATCTTCGAACTCCCAATTTATTATTGTGTAAATAATAATATTTTTCCTACTGCTACTATTGTAAGTGATAAATATTGTACACAAAACAATATCGGTAAGCTTCTCCTTACGCACGTGTGCGTAAAGTGAATAATTGCACGGTTTTCATAGGTATATTGAGAGATGACATAATTCTCATCTCATTATCAAATCGCGAAATTGATTGCAAATTTCCGCACAGGAAAGTGCAATTTGTCAATTGTTTTGCTCAGGATAGTGATTGGCACAGGTGCCATTCGATAAACTACAATGGTTTTACATGCCTTTGGGACATATATAATTTCGTTCCCAAGAAAAGCACAATCAGGAGAAAAAATACGGCAAAAAGTTCAAACCAGAGAGAAAAATGACGGACACAGTGTTTTATTTTTAGTTGCAGCTTTGAAATTTTTCGTCGGACTTCCACCTACAAATCTTGTTCAGAATCATTTGACTTTCTGTTCAAGATAGTGTCAGCAGAGGATGAAAATTTGATCAAATTGGCAACTGAACCTCAAAAAAGTATGTAGAGGATCTGGACAAAGTTTCTGAGGGATGTTATTCATCTGACAATTTAATTCATGTATGAAAAATTCCACAAGACGCGTGATTTTGTCAGCGAAAAAAGTTTGCCCTAACTTTTCCAGCGACAATAACAGGACCTAACTTTTGAAAGCATGATAACCAGCCATAAATAAAAAGTTTGATGAATTAAACTGTCTTACCGAATTACACTCTAGCTTTTTTTTATCGAAGTAAACTTGGCATTTATGATTCGAATTTTGTTGCCATTAGGTAATTCACTTCAAAACACTGCCAGAAAAAATTACTCGTCCTACGGACTCGAAATCTTTTCAGAGGCAGTTTTTTTCGTCAAGTTGCCAGGCAACAAATTTCTTATTGATACATGTCAAGTTTACTTCGACAAAAAAAAGCTCTCGTGTAATTATAATTGAAAAAAATAGTTTTCTATTCATTTTCCTTGTTATTCATTATATGAACACTAAAGAATTATGTTTTTGATTTTATTCCACAACATCCTGTTTGTTATATTATATTTTTTCATTTTGTTCATCGAACTTCTATAAAAAAAAACTGGTGTGCGTAGAACTTCTATGGTATAGGTACACTGCTCATATGATTATGCCGGTCTTATGGTACGCGGCACCCGGGACACGAGTTTGTCGTTTTACTCCCATCCCAGAAAACGTCCAACGTGCCTATAGAATTTATTATTACTTCAAAAATGTGTCATGGGAAAAAATCCAAAGACCTGAAAGATTAGGAATATTTTTGAGTCTGATGGGCGGCAAATCACCTTAAACAGTGAGACTTAGTGTTTTCATTGGCCAAAATCTGTATCATAATGAAAATCCGTGATAAAATGAACCATTTTCAAGAAAACGAAAGATGTTCAAGAAAACGAAAGCAGATATTTAATTCGCGTATTTGTTATACGGGAGTAGAAGATACTGTTTTTCTATATATCTGAGGCTTTGAAGCGTGTAACAGTTGAACGAGAATCCTTAGTTTTGAAACGCATCCTGTTCCAGTAAAACGAATAGCTTTTATAATTGCAATTTATAACGAAATCTAATTGTATGTACCAGCATAGCGGGTAGATAGTAATCATTATTTTTTGTTACTCCTTAGGTATTAGACTTGTAGATTCTCAACCTAAATCGTACCTACTGTTGATAGCCATCTTTCTAATTTTCGTTCCATCAATCCATTCATTTCATAACAATAATTGTTTCATTTTATACATATATTTTCTAAAAGGTACACCTAATTGTGAACCAGGCGTAAACACCTGTATGCATGTTCGTGGCTATATTCCGAATTCAACTGGTCAGTACTTTCAGTAGAACCACTGACTGCTGAAAATCTTGTGATCCAAAATATACATTAAAAAATACAGTGTTGTAATTCGGAATACGTTTTCATCAGTAATCAGCAGCAGTTGATCAGCTGGTGGAATTTGTCAGTCGTCAGGTTGTCATTCATGTAGTTTCTCGTTTATCTGGCCAATTACTTGAATAACAGGTATTTTCTGATTTCAAAAATGATATTTTCAATTTATTATTGATGAGACAAAACTTAATGTTTGAAAAACAACTGAAATAATCCCTGCACACCAACGAAAGCACTGACTAGCAGCTCTGAAAGCCGTTAGGCTGAGCTCAACACCACACTAGGAAGGGTGTTTTTATGTTCTGGTTCCCACGAATAGGGATATCCTGTAATGTTCAGAGAACATCGTGAGAACCAAGGGAAATAAGGTAGGAATTGGTGTTCTTCTTAAATTTCTGGAGGTTATATGCCTCGGGGAACATCTCCCTTGGCAATGTGTATCAGAGCCTCGCTGTTCGTTGGATGTACGAGTCTTTGGATAGAGATGTTCTGCAGGTCTCCAAAGTGACCACGAAGGGGTGCGAAGCCTCAACTCGACGGGTTAATCTCGCGGGGACTGCCAAGGGAGAAACAATTGTTGATATTTCAGTCCATGAAAATAGGGTGATCCAAAAGATCAATTTTGCCTAGACATGGACAAAGACAGACAAACCAGACGTAGGAAATGGTACCAAAAAGAGAATGACATGAGAATTACTCCAGCAGGAGGAGGGGTTGGTTGGCAAGTCTCAAGGGACACTCATCCAGTAAAACGGATTGTGTCTTTCGAAATGGGAACATCATAGAGGGGAACTGAAATAAATGTGACATTCCTTCCCCCTCTAAAATAATGACAGTTCACTGAAGCCACACTACCTTTTAATAGTCAGCAATTTCAGCTGAATGTTGAGTCGAAATATTTGGAATGAATAGTATGCTCACAAATATCTGTCACTTTCAGTGAATATTTTTGATTTCGGGATGAAAGATCAGCAGATTCGGTACCGTCAGTTTAATTCGGAATATAGCCCGTATGTATGTAGCAGATGCGTAAGTCCTGATGTGAACTAACTCGTCTGCTATATACGATATGGTCATAATAGGCACAACCACATTGATCTTTGGTGGCGTATCTGTGAAACCGGAAGAAAATCGAAACACACTCAAACTAGTTGGAACGATTTATTTAAATTAGGAAAGCAATATTATATCCTGAATTTATTTCCCCCGAGAACTATATAACGTTCAACACATGTTTGCAAAGAATATGGCCTTTTTAGCATCTTTCGTTATCGATCTACCCAACGATTTTCTTTTCCCTACCATTTTCCTATTAGCAACAGAAGTTTGTTGGATAGGATTTGTCTTCCTTTCCTTGAAATCAGGCGTTTATTTTCTGGTTTGTGCTGGATGCTGGATTACCATTATGGGAATTGGTTGTCTTCGTCCCAAACACTTTCTTAGGCCATCAGAAAAATTTCTGCGGTCGTGGTGGGACTCGAACCCACTACCGGTAATCCAACGTGGATAAAACATTGACGCTCTAACCACGAGGCTATGCTGGGCCTCTTTCCACATTTTCGAGAAATATGTTTATGTCATGGTAAAATTGTACTGGATCCTCCACCAAATTGTTCATTAATTTTTGTGAGAGTTTCAACCATTTCATTTCCATATCCTCAACTTGTTCAGCGCCCTTCTGTTTTTTTCAAAATTTCCAACTGTTTTTGTTTTGGTGTTACATCCATGGATATTTCGAAGTGTGTATGTGAATTGTTGCTTTCCTTGGAGCATGACGGAATTTACATTTCATCATCCTGCAAGGGTAGGAACACACATTCAAATGATTTTGCTTCAACTTCCTCTTGGGTTTTGAGTTGCAGATTGTATGTAGTTCAATTGACTTTGAAAATACAATGTGTAAGGAGGCAACCGAATGACGGATAGAACAATTTTAGAACAATTTTAGTATTATAGAGGGTGTTCCTTAATGACATGCTGTATAGCTTTTCCTGATCGCAAAATCCATTCTGCTATGTGACTGAAACGGTGCAAAAATTTCAAGATTTTACATACTGGGTTTATCCAGTAATGGATGTCCTGAATGGAGTACTAGCATTCACATCAAAATTTTAAGTTTGATCTCGTTTTTCTGTTTTTTCTCGAAAACGAACCGTCCTGTCGGGTATCAACTAGAGGATCTATTTTGTACAAAATTGAATGACTTTTTATAGCATTTTATTAAATTTGGAAATATCCCTTCGTTGCTCACTTTCAAGTATAATATAATCAATCATATCCCCCTAACGGCGCCACTGGTAGAGAAAAGAAAAATTTGTATACATCAAAAAATGCACCTTTATGCATAGAAGATATGTACCAAATTTCATGAAGATGACTACAATATTATTCCAGTTATTATTAAAAAACTGATTGTATCTCAAAAGATAAGACTTTTAGGACATACTTTAGTGGGAAGTTTTTTTCTTGAAATGCGTTGAAGAATCACCCCCTTGAATATTAGCATGTCTTTAAGGAACACCCTGTATAATGATTCTTGTGTATATTTCATTCTTATTGAAGGCTCTTGCAAACTTGAAAAAAGCCTGGGGCTCCTTCAGTGAAAAATTGGTTGATACCAAATAGTACCAGATCATAAATTACACTTTCCGATTGGTTTATAATGTTTCCATAACCGACCTTGACATTTGGCCGATAGAAATGGATTCTGGCTAATATTACTCTGATGACCAGTAGAAACTCGAAAATCCCTCTAGTAAATACGTTTTGTTACAGTTCTGCCAACGCAAAGAAATGGGAAATAGAATTGGCAACATTGAAAAGCAACAACGCCAGATTAACAAGCGCACTTCAAGAAAGCACAGCGAATGTGGACGAATGGAAGAGACAATTAGCTAGCCTAAAAGAAGAAAATATGAGGATGAAGGTGAAATATCAGTCCGATTTAGAAAATAGTAAAGGTAGGTAGTACTATCATCTATTTCAACATTTAAATCTACTTAGGTACTTGAAATCCGCTGATCAATATTCAATTAAATGAAACACAAAAATATATTTTTGATACAAATGCCATAAAAAGATACAGAGCATTGAACATGAAGAAACCCCTATATTTTTATTTTGCCTGAATCTAATATCTAGTTACCCAAAGAGGCCTTGGTGGGGGTGTATAAAAATCCATTTTCCAGGGCGTACTGATACATTTCGTAACTAATGTTGCATGCAAAATGAAGCAGAAAAATTAAAGGTTTAAGACAAAAAGTGTCATCTTCTTATATTCACTACAGGGAACGCCAATGATTGTTGACGCTATCAGGTGACTTAAGCCATTTTATGATTTCATTTCATCAACCTATTTTTTATCATTCCTAGAGAAATTGTGATCTCAAAATGTTGAAATTAGTATCAGTACCTCATTGATACACTTTCACATTATATTGCAGAAGTACATTAATGATTATAGATTAATGAATCTGTTTTCATAATCGAATTCAGTACACCACATGTCATTTGATGTTACATCAGATCAGCCGAGTTTGACGGAATTAAATGTATTCAGGAAATGGAAGCTTTATGACTCCACTAATATTACGTTGGTAATTGCCGTAAAATGTTAGTCATACAGATCAAGAGTAAAACGGAATCTGAAATAGACTGCTCAACAATTGATTGAAAGTTCTAGCTTTGTGCTGATTTGAGGCCAATTTTACAAGAGCTAATTTATAACTCAGCTATAACCTTCTTGAAATTGAAATGAATCTACGAAAAACTTCTTTGAAGGCCAAAACTATATTCTATTGACTTTTTTTGTTTTTCCTTGGACTACTCGTCTGCTGTACCTTTTTCAGTAGCAGAGTAAATTGGAAGAACGACAATAGTCCATTCGGACGGATTTCAAGAAAATGGAAAAATGATTGATTGATTATCTTCATTACCCCAAGAAACATAGTTGTTTATAATCGGGATACATAAACAATACAGTGTGTCCCACTTACCATGCTCACCATGGGTATCTTTTTAACGGTGAGAGATATTAGGTCGGTTAAATGACACCAAATGTGTAGTTTGTCAAGGCCAACTTTAATGTGAAAAAATATTTTGATAAAATCTATTCGTTTTTGTTTTATACGCAAAAAACAGATTCTGATCATTTTCATGTCTCCCCCGTAACTTCTTTATTTATGAAAATATTCAAATAGGAATCTCACATTCTCATGGCAGTTTTTCAAAGTGATTTCGAAAGAAATATGAAATTTATACCAACTCTTCTAGAATTTGAGATATCAGCACCAACTTTAGTTTTTTGAATGTAGGTCATAGCTCACTATGACTTAGTTACAAATATTTTTTGTTTCTCTCACAGATGATATGTCGCAGTAATAGTTTTGTGTTGATAACAACGAAGTTATCGTCATTTATACAAAAACAAAAAATTATTTGGAAGCCGTCATCTTGAATTTATAAATTTTAACACAAAAATCATCATCTCCGACCTCAAAAACCCCCACTTACAAATTTTGAATGGAATCGGAGAGAAACTTGTCCGCCATCTTGGAGCAGCCATTTTTTTAATTTCAACAAAAATGCCATTACTCCGATTGACTTGAAATTAATTAAGCCATAGTGAGCTATGACCTACATTTGAAAAACTAAAGTTGGTGCTGATATCTCAAATTCTAGAAGAGTTGGTATAAATTCCATATTTTTTTCGAAATCACTTTAAAAAACTGCCATGAGAATGTGAAATTCCTATTTGAATATTTTCATAAATAAAGAAGTTACGGAAGAGACATGAAAATGATGAATATCTCTTTTTTGCGTATAAAACAAAAATGAATAGATTTTATCAAAATATTTTTTCACATTATAGTTGGCCTTGACAAACTCCACATTTGGTGTCATTTGACCGACCTCGTATCTCTCACCGTTAAAAAGATACCCATGGTGAGCATTGTAAGTGGGACACACTGTATACATAATGTTATACATACAATTATGAAATAATAATTAGATATAACAAGTTGAAGAAATGCAAATGATCATGCAATATCATAATATCAACCTTGTCTTTTATAAGTAGGCATTCAAATAAGAAATGGAATTATCAAAGTCTCTGGAGCCGATATTTTTTAAAGTTAATTTTGAATCTAGTTGCTTCCTGTATATTCCTCAATTGTCTTGGTAATGATATAGAACGATTCCTGTATGGTAAATGGATTGTTTGCCGATATTTGACTTATACGTATTTGCTATTAGTTTTATATGTATGTTTTGTTGTATATATCCCTATTATAAACAATAATGTTTCTTGGGGTAATAAAGACAATCAATCAAATTTGATTGTCTTGTTTCATGATTATGTAATGAAATAATTTCGTTGAAATTTGAATTCGAAATTTTCAATTTATATAGGACAAATTACTCTTTAGAAACTAAAATTGATTGAAAATAAGTCACTAACAACATTTTTCATGAAATAACATGTTTTTTATCCAGAAATATAAACAAAATCAACATTTATTCAGAACTGATGACTCAATAAAAACATTATATTTAGACATGGACACATGCTACTTTTTCCCTATGGCATCTATTGGAGGGTCTATAGCCACTCTTTCCGCTACTTTTACCATTTAACGATTTCATTATCTGATTGGTACTAAATTATTCCATGAAAATAAACTGTAAGCTCACTTTTGCATGAAAATGAACTGATGCCGTTTTTCCCCTGGACCCTTCAGTTGTATTTCAGAATTTCAGAAAGCGTCAATGGTATTTTAGAAAGTGTCATTTTTTGTATTCCAGAAAATATCATTTGAAATTCAACTGACGCTTTCTGAAATACAATTGAGGCTTTCCGAAATTGAATTGACGTTTTCTGAAATACAAGTTTTGACGCTTCCCTGTCTCCTCATTTTTGAAATGTGTGTTTTTGTTTTCAAGAATAGAACTAGTTTCAAACGAAATTGTGATGCTTATGGGTATGAAACAAGGAGAATGGGCAATTTTTGTGTCCCCTTTGCCAAAATGAAAGTTGAATCTGATACTCCTGATCTTGTTCTCAAAATGTTTAACTATCTTCCAGAAAGAATAAAAAATATTGATAGACTATCTTCGTTCAAATTAGAACTGACATGTTTTTTATTGGAAAAATCTTTCTATAGTATAAAAGATTTTATAGATAAATACTGTCTGTAGGTTAATCGAGGAGGTGATACATTCATTTTACTTGATTTTTCAGGATTTTCTCTCCTCGTTTCTATAAAATAAAAATATTCCTATTATTTCAATATATATTTGTAATTAGGCAAATCAGATGATTTGCCCCAAAATGTCACTGCGTTTAAAAAAAATTTTTATCAGGGAGAAAAATCCAGTAGCTTGTCAGTGACAATTTTTTTGAAAAAATGTTTGAAGGAAAGAAATATGGATATATATTGAAAAAATATTTTTCTCTTTGAAAGTTGTGCTGCTTATAGTTTGATACTTTTCAGTGTCATACTGATGTTGGCATATGAATGGAAAGGAAAGGAAGATAACAACCAAAAAAGAAAAATCAAAAATCTTCTAAACGGAGACAATAGCATTGTTTCTTGTTCAGTTGATATAGATAGAATAACATGGTATTCACTACTGAAAACTGAACATGAAAATGGTAGATTCAAGATCAATTAATGAAAACATCCTGTAACTCATTTGTAGACTAAAATCACTCATTCACTCATCTTCTGGAAACAATTTGCTCAAAACAATTATAAAGCCACCTGCAGAGCGGTTTTGAAGATTTTCGAGAAAACTGAAATGATATGTTAATTCATGGGCAATAAAATTGTCGGTAGAGTAACGACAGAGTAAAACCATTTTATTTTCAGGTGGAGGAGAATTGGCCGACGATTTAAGGAGAGAAATTCAAGCGCTGAGAATTCGAGTAGAGCAACAAGAGTCTGAACTAGATAGCAAGAATAGCGAAATCATAACTCTGGTGTCTTCAAATAAATCTTCGGAGATCCAGGTGAGAATTGACTTTCTGCATTATTATGTCATGTGCTTATTTTCAACTAGTAAATATGTTTCTGAAATTTAGACAGTTTTCATTGCGGATATTTTTTAACAAATCAACTCCACGAGTAAATCTAATAAAACAAAACTAACTGGAAATGTGGAATTTTAATCAGCAAGTTCTAAGTTTCTTATCAAAATCATTGTGAATTCATTCAGACATCAAAATGAAAAATTACACTTTTCTCGAATACGGTTCGTTTTACGGAATTCTAACAAGAATACCTTCTTCGTTTATAAGTGTTTGAAATAAGTTTTGAAACAAAGTATTATTATGCGAGCCCAGTGAAGTCTTTGTGGGGTGATGATGAGATTTATCCCTGCATTAAAATTAGCCCGATTCGCCAGTCATGTAGTTTAAAGTACCCAATATCGGTTTTGGTGGTACATAACTTCAATAAATATTTCCAATGGGCAAGTAGACTGATGATTATTGGCATTCAATTACTCCACTGCGTCATTAGGGACCTAAATTAATTATTGCAACAATCAATCAATCAAAAATATACTTTATTGTCAAAGAAACACATTCTTGTTGACAAAGCATAAATAAATAATCACAATAAATGAAGTGAAATGAAAAATTTCACAGTCAAGGTAACGATTGAACTCGTTGGAATACAGATATATAGACAATTCAAATGATCAACAATTAAAATAAATAAATAAAGTGTATAGACTGGTGTGTAACATGAAGGTACATACATTATTGAATGGATCCACATGCATTGATATTGAAATATATCTCTGTACATAAAACATATATAAACGAAATAAGAGTAGGAATGAGTAGGATTGAACATAATAAAATTAATAATAATAATCCATAAACAAGACACACAAAGTGTTTATGAATCTATTCACTCCACTTTGAGATACCATGGACTTTTACCATAGATTATAATAATAATTATTGCACATTTGGGAATGTATAAGCCAGTCAAACAAAACAAGAACAGGTGGACACATAAGTTTGTAGACATGAACGTACAGCATAACTCAACAGTCTTATAACAAAACATAACATATATAACATTGATATTAGCTGGAGTTGATTATCCCTCAAGCTTATCGTCAAAAAATTCTGTAAAGAATGATGCCTTTTGTTCCTCAATTTCACTTCTCACGCTTTTTTATGTAAATAATGAGTCAATTAGCTGTTCGAAATTGTTGAATTTCAGAGCTCATTTCAAACGTACCGTCATGACCGCCATTTGGCCATGATCTGCGATACGACGAATGAATGGTGATGCCAGTTTTTATGCTGTTTCGTTATTGGTCGGATAATCTTCCATTCCCACTCATTAAGCAACGTTGTCAAGTCACCAAATATAATCAAGTTATCAAAAAGATGTTGGAGTCCTGTCGTTGAATACAACATAATAAGGGGAAGCCATGATATTATAGTTCATTTTTGACTTTCGAGCAACCAGCATGTCAAAATATTTCTTATACTCCAATACGCCATAACAAAATATCATGTAAATGTTGGAGTCTTGGCAACATGTGCTAAATGCTGAGAACTGACAATTTGTTATGTTTACCGGTTCAAATGTCCTCTAGTGTGAATTAATATAAGTATTATTCATACAAATTTATTATAAGCAATAAACCACAACACATGAGGGAAAATGTTGAGACAATGGATTTTTATTGCTAATTGGGAATAGTAGGTATATATGATTGAGAATTTATGAATTATTGAATAACTAATATTTCTGAAGTTCCCTATGGTTTTTCAACATATGGCAACTGTGCTATAGTCTGCCCCTACTTACGAACTTGTGACGTTAATTTTCACTTGCGTTGAAGCTCTAGCCGTTTGAAAATTACCATAGCATTATTGATGATTTTAGCACCTTGAAATCGACCGAAAATTCTAAAAAATATGGAATTGAAAATTATCTGAGTGATGATTCTATTTAGGAAATGAATTTTGCATTTCTTACTTAATTTCGGTTTTGTTTTATAATAATTGGGTCGATAATGAATGTTGTGTTGGTCGCGTAGGTAGACATGCGTACTTTATTGATAGTTTTCTATAGTTTACCTTTATATTTTTCCATTATCATCATTTACCTGGGCTAAAAACATATTCCTTGACGTCTCGAATTAGTAGTGGAGAAACAAAGTATCATTGAAATCGAATTAGTGGTCCAGACAGTTGAATCAAACTATAGTTATATTCAGGGATGCCTCCATTTCTTGCATAAAGTTATAGTCAGATCGCTCCTGACACTGTCGCGTTGTTTCAGTCGTTACAGAAAGACAACCAGGAATTGCAGAGCACCCTGAAACTGGCGCAATCTGAGCTCGAGATCGCCCTCAGCGCGCACGAGTCCCAACGCCAGATCTTGTCCACGCTGAACCAGCAGCTGGCCGCGAGAATCCAAGACCTGGTGACGATCCACGACGAGGTCAACACCGCGCTGCACACGTGAGAGAGATAGCGATGCGTCGGTGAGCGTATCTACATAGCATACGTCTAGGGTGTGTCTCTCTTTCTTTGCGCGCGTGAGAGAGATAGCGTTGCGTCGTGAGCGTATCTACATAATATGTGTCTCCCTCTTTCTATGCGCGCGTAAGAGATAGCGACGCGTCGTTGGGCGTATCTACATAGCGTACGACTAGGGCGTGTCTCAATGCGCGCGTGAGAGAGATAGAGATGCGTCGGTGAGCGTATCCACATAGCTTACGTCTAGGTTGTATCTCTCTCTTTCTATGCGCACTTGAGAGATAGAGATGCGTTGGTGGGCGTATCTAAATAGCGTACATCTAGGGTGTGTCTCTCTTAATGCGCGCGTGTTTGTTATGGTCTGTTCTGGAGTATCCTTTCGCTCGGTTCTTGGGCGATGAAAGAATTCCACAAAAAGCCTCTAGAAGTTTTGGCCAACGGGGGTGCTCAGTGCTTACTATGTGAATGTTGACAATTCGATCTACATTGCTGTGCAAAAAAGCGGCCACTAAGAGAATTGGCCCCAATTTCGAAGTTGTCTTGCTCTTGAAGCGGTCATCTGATTTTGACGAATATTTGTTTCGTAAATAGGTTGTTTCATAAACTTATTATTCCAAGAAGACACATTTCATTCATAAAACTACATTTGTATTACCGCAATGATTCCGTGAGGAGGACAAGAAATACCAATCAAACCTCTTTTTCACACTCAGTTTGTTTTTCCAAGATCTTAATATTAATGTGGAAATGGTAAACAAAAAGCTATTTGGATAGGTAACCACTTGAGTCACTGGATGGTATTAGTTATATAAGAGTTCGGGCACAGTTGAATTTATGTCCTTCCCTATTTTCTTTATTACAATGGTTTGAGTGAATGAAAGAATAAGGCATATATTCTGCTCTTTGGCTTTTCAATTTCGCTAATTGCACCTGATTGGCAGATATGAATTTAAAGGTTAGATTTCCTGTCAAATCAATCATAGCCGTAGATGGAATATAGACAGAGTTATAAAAATGCAAAGAATGCATGTATCAACACTTCAGTATGACAAAATGAACACATAGGGATATACTTATAGCTACAGTTTGGTCGGTATTGAAAACGCCATTCAATGATATATCACGTTGCAATTTACTTGATTTCCTCAGATTCGTTCTTTCAATTTCATTACGTAGTTTTGCAATCAAATCCTCTTTCTCCATGATTATTTTGTTTTGCATTTCGTGCGATGATAATAAAGGATTTTGTGTTTTAATAGTCTTTTGTGAATGGATGGACCTTACAGCGGATTCTCTCAAACAGATCATAAAATCCTCTGTTTGAAAACGGGCCTAAAATATTTTTTTTACTCCACAAAAGCCTATAATTCGTAACTCAACACACGTTTGTGCACCGGGCTACACACTGATGGTTCGGAATGCAGCTTCAGGATAACTGAGACGGAGATGGTCAGGTAGTAGGGGAATTCCAAATAATTTGGGTTTCTGGGGCGCTCCGGAGTCTGAGTCTGCGCGGCAGTGCCGAAAAGCTAACAAATACCATCCAGTGACTCTAGTAACCACTGCCCTTATGTAATTTATTTTATTTTTCACTTGACCATAAATGCTTTATACCTTGGCAACGGACCAATAACGCCCGGGGCGTTATGGGGGGCATTATGATTTTTTTTCTGTAGTTCATAAAATTACATACCAATTCTAGAAAGAACGTCAATAACACGGCCTCACCTATGGCAATAATTTCATTTTTCAACTTCCATTGATTGAATACTTCATAATCCTTGTCCTGGGTTTCTCCGGCAACAAATCAATCGAAGCCTTGTCTGCATTTTTTATGATATTCTTGGGTGAATTTACAAACGTCAAAATATCAACGAAGGCCATACCTACCATAAAATGAAAAATGGAAAGAAAATGCTAGGAGCAATGAACCGCTTTTCGAAATCGATTTTTCATTATAATAAGATGATTTCTTCGTGAAAAATGCAACACGAGAGTTCAGAATCAAGATTTTTGACCACCCTGTATCTATTTCAATGAAATATCAATTGATAGTACATGAAAAATTGAGAAAATGACATGAACACTGTTTCGATCACTTATGAATAGTTTCGACACAAAAAGTTCTTGAAGTTGAAAAATTTCGAATTTTCACACCCTATATCTTTGTTATCATTCCCGCTAGACCCCAAGTGTGATAGATCGATAGAATCAGCTCTTCAGGGAGAATCTTAAAACGGAATGATATACAGGGTGCTCCATTGAAAAAATCAAATTTGTTGCTACTTTTCAACGTCGCAACGCTGAGAATATTTTTATCAGACGGGAAAGATCGAGGACCACCTTCTCAGGAGACGACTGACCTTGCACTTTGTCCTATCCACAATATACACTTTATTTAAGCATGATTTGTACAATTTCATTCCAAATTTATGTATATGATGTTTTTGTAAACTGTCGAAAACTCCTTCCTCCCCTGAAGGGAACTAGAGTCCCTGTATATACCTTAGACAAGAGTCCGGACACAAAACTGACAGCCGTTGGGGTCTTTAATATTTTGTTTCATTTGGTTTGCCCACCTGACAAACACCATAGTCGTCCCACCCGCTTTTTTCAATTATTCCGAATGTCTGTCACTATCACTATGAAATTTTATGACCGCCAAAATTTAGCATTTTGAAATATTTCAATGTCCTGCGTACATTATTGCGATAATTCATTAGGAAATAAGGGATTCAAGTTATTCAATTCTCCGAATGATCCTTTAAAGACAATGTCATGGAAGAATATCGCAATATGTGAGGTAAATATTCAAATTTACTTGTGAAAACAGTACAAAAAGGATGAATTTTAGGCCCATTTTGATAGAGATTTTTTCAAGCTAATGGATTTCAAATTGAAAGAGTTTGCTGTGCCGTCAATTTATGAAATAGAGACGTTCAAAAAAAGAGTCCCGTCGTCATCGTATTGGAAATTACTGAAGAGAAAGAAAATGAGAATGAGATGATGCGGAAAGAAATTGAAAGTTTGAAATCAAAACTCGAATCAAAACTAGAAGATTTAGGGAAACTGCAATGTGCTATATCATCAGTCCACGGTGTTATTAATTCAGATCAAATTCAAAGAGGAGGAAGAGGTGGGAAACACAATTAATAAAGCACTCGCTATCAAATATATTGTTGTTTTGATTGTGTCACTTTTATTTCTGATGAGTGTTATTAAATTGAGAGAATCGGAGAAAATTATATTGAAACAATTATATATCTTCTATTTTTTTCATATCTCAACAGAAAACAAGTATATTTTCTTGGCTATATGTGATACCACCTAGAACACTCAAAGTATCTTTCTTATATCTAATGAAGTGAAGAAATATCTGATGACAAAAATTTGCAATAGCCATCTCAGGAATTGATTATGAAAATTATCGATTCGAAATTTGAACACCCTGTTGTTCATTATTCGAAAATCTAATTGTTATTCTAGTTAAAATAGCCCTATTTCTCACTCCTACCTACGGCTATGACAAATAATCTAACCCTCAAAAGGGTTTCTGACAATCATTGGTACTAGGGGAATTGAGAAGACAGAGCTCGATATATATGTCTTATTCCTTTATTCAATCATCAATGCATTTTTTGAAAACAGAAAAGGACAGAAGTATAGCTGTGTCCGGACTCTTGTCTAAGTTCTATACAGGGACTCTAAAGGGAACCAATGTCTCGTCACTGCATATCACTTCTCTTGGTACTTGAATTTTGAAATTATTCAGAAGTATTTCCTGGAGGGGTGCATTTTTTTGTAATCGGTTATCAGTCACAACCTCATTATCATGAAAGTGTCACATCTTCAGCAATAATAATTGGAAAAGGTTCCGTGACATCATTTTTTTTTACATTATTATTATTATATTATACATTAAATTTAGGAAAACTACTTTCACAAACCCCCTTCTGTATTTTACAAGTTATTTGATGATGAAGCAAAGATATCCATGATGGGTCAAGAGACAAACATGTATGCATCACAGTGTGAACGTATAGTCAGGTCCATACGTTCACATTGTGATGCATACATGTTTGTCTCTTGACCCATCATGGATATCTTTGCTTCATCATCAAATAACTTGTAAAATACAGAAGGGGGTTTGTGAAAGTAGTTTTCTTAAATGTCATTCCTTACCAGCGATATTTTCGATGAAAGGAGATGACTTCATATTATTATCAGTTACCTCCTCCCAAATCATCTCACCACCCTCCTCATATTCATTGTTGCTACTTGAACTATCATCTGCATTATCTCTGATGACGTCTTCAATTGTTTGGTACATAGAATCAGTGGCTATGTTGAAAATACGTCGGTCATACACCTCTGGCATACGATGAACTTTCCTGATCAAGTGCTCGTCATCGGAAGTCTGTGATTCATTGCAAGGCAAACCGTCTTCCATTATTTCACTGGTAATATTTGTAGATCGGGACCCCCAGCGATAACAGACTGCTTCTCCCTGCTATAGAGATCGCGTATTTGAAATTTCTCAAACAAGGAGATGCATCATTTTTGGATCGTTTTTTCATAGGGGCCTGATCCTCAGATTCAAAATTATATTCATTCAATGCCATTCTATAACAATTTTCCACCGGATAATTGATAATTATCTGCCACAACAAGTCCAGTTTCCTTTGAAATTCACATATTTATCAGTTCATATCCGTTCATCGAAGGTTAGATTATAAGAATACTTGTATTTTGAGGCGGCTAAGTGAACTCACACGAAAAATGCAGAAATAGATGATTTTTTTGTCGAAAAATAATCATTTATGTATTAGAAAAGCTGAAAACGAAAACAAAACGTTGGCCAGAGGGCTCGGTTTTTCAGATGCCACGTCGGCAGTCAACGTGTTAATATTTCGAAATCTTTGAAAGGTACTGCTCTGAAATTCGTAGGGCAATTACTATAGTGAATGTGCATGGAAAACATGTCGTACTAATTCAATCAATATAGGTACAGGGAGTTTTCGAGATAGATATCCAAAGAACAAATGTCGTTGGGAGGGTATTACAGGAAGGTGGCCTGCTAAAGTGCCACTTTACTGCCGTGAATAAAAATAATTTTACCTTTCAATGGATATCTCTTCTGGAATGGATACGGTATCTGTAACTTTCTAGAGGCTTTTTGGTTGATTCTTTCAATCGTACTTGGGAATCGAGACGCATTTGTATTTTTGTCCGAGAAGGATCGTTCATTTCAATGGCGCGCATGCCATTCTCATAGAAGCTCAAATAA